AAACGTTAACACGGGATATTCCGAACGATAGTTACGGGTTTAACGACTGGATCCATACAATCTAGACAATCTATTAACCATTCCAGAATGTTCTTTTGTTCAGGTTTCAAATTTGTAATCGAGAATTTGACAAAATACATGTATGTTTCGAAGCGTAGTCGCCAATTTGAAATTAGTGCCGTAAAGCACTAGAAAGCTGCCTTCTGAATGGCTAATGTCGACTTCTTGTCAGTCCTTCTATCGGTCGGTCAAAGTTCGCGCAAGGTCGGTCTGACGGTGACCCGTAATGGGATGTCCTCAGATTTTTGTTTAGCGGTAGCGTGAACTAAGATCAGATTTTAATGAGATTCCGCCCAATGGATTCTGTTTCGGTGGATAATCGAGACTGGTTATGCTCTAGCAATGCACGGATATGACTACTATGTGTCAAAAAGGTTTTCGGGAAGCGTTTTTCTAATTTTTGAACTGAGCAAGTCTTTGGCCAAAACAGATTTTAACACATGTAGATAAAAATAGTACAAGCAAATGGTAAAAGTATTATGCCGGGTAAGCCAGTCGTCTAAGGCGCCGCAATTCTCTCTCTCTCTCTCTCTCTCTCTCTCTCTCTCTCTCTCTCTCTCTCTCTCTCTCTCTCTCTCTCTCTCTCTCTCGGTCTCGATTATCCACCGAAACAGAGAGAGAGAGAGAGAGAGAGAGAGCCTTCATAATTTGACGTTTCCAGGCCCTTATCCCACCTCGTCCTTTCTCAAAGATGTTGCTCTGTTACGGGATTAAAACTATAACTGCTTGGTGGTTCAGGTGCTAATCATCATGGGTAAGCGCAGATGCCTCGCTACAACTGAGATACCCCTACTTGCTGACTTAACCTGCTCCCTTGTCGTTGCGCCTCAGTCACACGTATACGGTAATCTTGGTTCAGTGTTTATATAATTTAGATGACGCGATATTGTATTAACTGGAAGATTTCTCTCCGCGAATACCCCCTTCAAAGAACGCGCCCGACCCAAAGAGGATACTACAAAGAGGCACGTAGGGGAATGAATCAAGTAGATATGTAGATATGAAGATATATAACCAAATCAGGGAAATAATAACAACGTATTTATCAGAGTTTATAATATATAGTGAGCGAGATATCCCTCGCATGATTGACAAAATGATAATATTCTCTTACCTATAGTTATAACCGTGCGGGACCCCTGAGCGCGTAGACAACACCAGCAACTCATTTTGACGTACAATAAACTACACATTCTATATTATACTGGTTTATATCGATGTGTTGCCATAGAAACGTTCACAGTTGTCCAAAGTGTCAACAACTGACGTTTGAATCTATTGTGTTGTTTGGTACTAGGTTGTGAAACGCTACGATCTGTTACTATGGTTACCAGGAATATTAAATTCAATTCATCAAGGTTATAAGGCAGTGACATTTTTTCGTTTGTGCAGGTAGAAAACATATACATATATCTAACCGGTAATCTAACGTAAATGAATATTGAGCCAAAGCGGTTCTTTTAATCTTTAATTATTGTTCAGGGCATGTCATATTTGGTTTACTTTAATTTAAAATTTCCGATATGGTAGTTGTGCAGGTTTATTTGAACCCTGAAAATGCATGACATTTGTTAAAATGTCCATGTCGTGCATGGGAAGGCGACAGTGAGTGTCCACGTACCAGTTGTTTTCAACAGTGAAATAGCCAGGCGGCCATGTGGCCTGAATAGGCTACTGCGCTAATTTAGTGAGAGTCCACGTGCCTGTTGACGTGTTTATCAAAATTAGTATGTAGGGGAGGTAATCGCATAGTTGTCAAATACGTGGTGTGAGATGTAAAACGGAATAACCTTAAACCTGTATTGTTCATATTGTTTTAAACATGCCTGTGTCGATTAAACAGGGAGGGAAATGATTATATTTTAAATTAAATTTGTTTGCCACCATGGTGACACCTCGTGTCCAAAGTTTTCTTGTTTTATATTTTATACCTTATGCTGGTGTTCGTACTATTTGTACGTGGGCCAATGGCATTTCTTGTGAAATAAATTTTCTTTCGTCACGGTACGCTCAGCTTAAATGCTGTTTGTTTTTGTTGTGTGTGTGTGTGTTATTTTATCAATCACCTAAATAATACTTGCCTATGTTGATGGGCCTATTATGAGCGAACATAGCCCTGATCAAGATAATATTAATATCGTTTCTATCTGATCGTTTTGCTGAACGAAAAGCGTTGAGACAGCTCCCTCTGGAGGTCAATGATTGTAAGAAGGGAGGTTGAGGTGTGGTGAGAATTTGATTCATGTTTGATGTCGTGGTGTAGGATATGTCCCCCCCCCCCACACACACACACACAAACACACGCACATACACACATGACGCTACCGCCACCGAATTTGTCGAATTCACGTACACAATGTTGGTCCCATTTCGAAATCGTGATTCATCGCTAAAACACACTCGTCTCGACTCGCAAGGGGGGGGGGGGGGGTGTGTGTGTGTGTTCCTAGTGGTTAAAGCGTTCGCTCGTCACGCCGAAGACCCGGGTTCGATTCCCGACATTGGTACAATGTGTGAAGCCCATTGCTGGTGTCCCCCGCCGTGATATTGCTGGAATATTGCTAAAAGCGGCGCAAAAACCATACTCACTCACTCCTGTGCAGGGGTGGTAACTCTTGGTTGGCCGGTTCTACAGTGGAATTGAACCGTGTGTATCGGTCACAAAGGCGGCAAATGGTGCTGCGGTGGACGTTGAAGTGGCGTGCAAAAGGAGACTGCATGCAATTCCACTTTTTGGATACGTCCTATGGCGATGTTCCGATCGGCAGCGCTGAGTCTCGGCCTTTTCGAACTTGAAAAATATTGACAATTGAATGACAATTTATTGGCTTATGTTTGCCTTTTTATAGCCACCACCACGAATTACGAATGCCATAACTTGCACGTGCATTTTGCTTTACTGCAAATCGACAATGGCCGTGCTTTGACGTGCCAACATTTTCCAATAACATATATCCAATTTCAGTATGTACCGGATTTTTTGTGTAGTCAGGTTCAGTGATCTACACACTGCCTATGCGTTTCCCTTTTTTGAAGAGTGTATTTCGCAGTTCACAAACGGATAAGACCCGTGAAGATTCCGGGGTAGAATAGGTCTTCAGCACCCCATGCTTGCCGTAAAAGGTGACTATGCTTGTCGTAAAAGGCGACAAACGGGATCGGGTGGCAAGGCTCGCTGACTTGGTTGATACATGTCATCGATCCCAATTGCGTGGATCGATGCTCATGACATTAATCACTGGATTGTCTGGTCCAGAATCGATTATTTACAGACCGCCGTCATATAGCTGGAATATTGCTGAGTGCGGCGTTAAACAACATACCAACCAAACAACAACAAACGGATAAGCAATTAGTCCTGATGTAACTCAGTATTTAGTTGTTAATTTCACACAATTTTTCCCACGGCGCCGTGGCAGAAGATTACATTCGTTAACCCTCCGTTTCGACTTCGAGGGTTCGAATCCCGCTGGCGACAGATATTTCATGAAATTGTTGTATCATCAAGATAAATGATAGGGGGGGGGAAGTTAGGTCATTGCCAAGTGGTGTTTCACTAAGAATTTAGTTAGGTAGATCACGGTCAAAGACAAAGGAGCCATGGTTTAAGAATATTTAAATTGTAAGCACGTGAATGCTGTATAGCTTGACCCGATTGACCAAAGGATTGCCCGATCTTCACTATGTTGCCTAGAGAACGTTAATACAAGACGATTGGAGGTGTTTTATCAAACCCTTGTAGTGAGTAGTTATGTTTACAAGCACAAATACAAGCCGAACCGTTGCGGTCGGGTAGCCTAATGGTTAAAGCGTTCGCTCGTCACGCCGAAGACCCGGGTTCAATTCCCGACACGGGTACAATGTGTGAAGCCCATTTCTGGTGTCTCCCGCCGTGATATTGTGATATTGGAATACTGCTAAAAGCGGCTTAAAATCAAACTCACTAACTCACTCACTACAAGGCGAACCAAACACAAACGGGTTCCAGTAATAATGTCTCTGGTATTGATGCCACACTGACAAATTGCAAACTTGTAACGTAATGGTGCAGATTGGAACCCACGTCGTCAGTGTCAGGCAGCTAATCGCCCACTCTGAACTGATGTTAAAACATCTTATCCACTTAAAACATAACACTTGTGCATAGAGTATTGAAACAAGTAAAAATGCCCAATGCCCCGGATATAGTACAGATATACTGTGAAACAGACAACTAGTCTAGACAAACATTGTAACCAGGTCGATTTGAAAAAGAATCTGCAACTTTAAATACACTTAGTACACAACAGTTTGAGAAGAAATATGATGTTACAAGAGTGACACTCTTGGCAACAAAAATACATTTGTCCTTGTACATTACGTGATTTTCATTCCTTACATCTGTTGCTTAATTCTCATAAGTTCGCATTGAGTTTGTTTGAACGATGTCAGGACGCTGAGTTTGTACGGGATCGAGTGGTCAGGCTCGGTGACTTGGTTTAAAGCATCGTATCCCAATTGCGTAGATGGATGTTCAGATGTCAATCACTGGATTTTCTGGTCCAGACTCGATTAGTTACAGACAGGCATCATATAGCGGGAATATTGCTGAATGTTTCCATATTTGTTTTATATTTGTTACACATTTCTAATACTTATAAAATCAACAAGAAACATTGAAGATATATTGTCTTTGAAAATTTGTGAATTTAACGATGTAATCGCATGTGTACTGTATGTACTGAAAAGAAGCGTCGTTCGTTCATATGGTGGTCATCTGATCACTGCAACACCGCACGCACCATTCATTACGACAAGCCGAATTCAGTTTACGGAAAGGACCGAGTTGTTGTGAATGGCACACGCTCCTTCCAGCCAATCAATTACACTGCCTTGGCAACCCATACGTTGTTCTTTGTGTGAAGTAGGACCTCATTTGGCATTCTGAGAAAAATAACATCACAATTGAACGCATATTTTATTTTTAACCAAAGGAAATTAAACCGTACGACAAATCGTGACCCAACCAGTCCGTTGGCATCTCCCCGCGGCAAAGGTGTTAATTGACTTTCTAAAAAAAGAAGATTGGAGGTAAACAGTGTGAGCACTTGCTTGTTGTGCGCCACGGATTTCATAGCGCTAGCCTACTCAGATACATAGACACATTATGCTCCGAGCCGACCAGTCGTCATACTATCCCCTTAATGCCGAACACCAGGCAGGGTAACATTAAATACCATCTTTTAAGTATTTTGGTATGAAGCGGTCAGGAGTTCGAACTACATATCTAACTAATAAAACTGATGATCATTCGCTTCAATAAAAGATGCATCTACCCTGTAAGGAATATTGGTCAGAATAGACATCCCGTCCTAAGAGCCGACTAATTATGTTCGGGTATACGGGCTGTGTGACCTGGCGATGTGAGTGTCATCGTGTCCGGCTGTGTTGAAATTTGATAGTGTTTCAAACACTGGCTTGCCGCTGTGATATGGCCTGAAATATTTCTGACTGCGGCGTTAAACCACAACCATTAAACAAAGTGAGTGAGTGTGTGAGTATGGTTTTACTCCGCTTTTAGCAATATTCCAGCAATATCACGGCGTGGGACACCGGAAAATAGGCTTCACACACAGTACCCATGTGGGGAATCGAACCCGGGTCTTCGGCGCGACGAGCGAGTGCTTTAACAACTAGGCTACCCCAACGCCCCAATTAAAGAAATAAATCTGCAGTGACTCTTTTTAAATAGCAGGTACCTCGTCAATAACAGAAGGGTGATATATGAATGCACACAGACAGAGAGACCTTACTCGTGCCTTCTATTATTCAGAGATATACATAGTAACAGAGCATCAGGTTGGGTTTATGTTGAAGGGAAGGTGACGTTTAGTATTCCTCGCCCTCCTCTTCTCCCTCGCCCTCAACAGAGTCGACTCCAACCTCCTCGTAGTCCTTCTCCAGGGCAGCCAAGTCCTCACGGGCCTCGGAAAACTCTCCCTCCTCCATACCCTCACCCACGTACCAGTGGACGAAGGCACGCTTGGCGTACATCAGATCGAACTTGTGGTCAAGACGAGCCCATGCCTCGGCAATGGCAGTGGTGTTGCTCAACATGCAGACGGCTCTCTGGACCTTGGCCAGGTCACCACCGGGAACAACTGTAGGAGGCTGGTAGTTGATGCCGACCTTGAAACCAGTGGGGCACCAGTCGACGAACTGAATGGTCCTCTTGGTCTTGATGGTGGCGATGGCAGCGTTGACGTCCTTGGGGACAACATCACCACGGTACAACATGCAGCAGGCCATGTACTTGCCGTGACGGGGGTCACACTTGACCATCTGGTTGGCGGGTTCGAACGTAGCGTTGGTGATCTCAGATACAGACAGCTGCTCATGGTAGGCCTTCTCGGCTGATATGACAGGGGCATAGGTGGCCAGAGGGAAGTGGATACGTGGGTAGGGGACCAAGTTGGTCTGGAACTCTGTCAGATCTACGTTCAGGGCTCCGTCAAATCGGAGGGATGCAGTGATGGAGCTGACAATCTGGCCAATCAGACGGTTCAGGTTGGTATAGGTGGGACGCTCAATGTCGAGGTTACGGCGACAGATGTCGTAGATCGCCTCGTTGTCGACCATGAAGGCGCAGTCGGAGTGCTCCAGTGTGGTGTGGGTAGTCAGGATGGAGTTGTAAGGTTCCACCACGGCGGTTGAGATCTGGGGGGCGGGGTAGATAGAAAACTCTAGCTTGGACTTCTTGCCGTAGTCCACAGACAGTCTCTCCATCAACAGAGAGGTGAAGCCGGAGCCAGTTCCGCCACCGAAACTGTGGAAGATGAGGAAGCCCTGGAGTCCAGTGCACTGGTCAGCCAACTTCCTTACGCGATCAAGGACGAGGTCGACGATCTCCTTGCCGATGGTGTAGTGACCGCGGGCGTAGTTGTTGGCGGCGTCCTCCTTGCCGGTGATCAGCTGCTCGGGGTGGAACAACTGGCGGTAGGTGCCGGTACGGACCTCATCTGGAAACAGAAGTAAGGCGTTTGTGATCAACATTATTTTACTTTATTGTATTTGGTGTACATTATTTCAGAAATCAAAAGCTTAGTTCATCCCAATATCTGACACCGTTATGTTTGCCTGACAGAACGGGGAATGGGTGATCAGTTATCTAAGGATGCTGCAATTCGTTGTGCAGAGTTGCGCCCCTTAACCATGCCAGAATTCAATGATCATGTGTACGAATCCAAAATTCGCCCCTATAATAATCCTTGGTTTGTTCACACAATATTCATGCTCTACATCTGTGCTGAACTCCAACATCAATCTGGTCAGCGGGGGTAAAGCTGAAATACCGTTCAAAGCCGCGTAATATTCACTCACTCCCCCCGTCGACAAAGACACATCATGCAGTTTGAAAATCTATATAAAGGTATGATACAGATGTATTGAATAAATACATTCGATTTCACTTACCAACAACAGTGGGCTCGAGGTCGACGAAAACGGCACGGGGGACGTGTTTCCCTGCACCAGTCTCGCTGAAGAAGGTGTTGAAGGAGTCGTCCCCACCTCCGATGGTCTTGTCTGAGGGCATCTGACCATCGGGCTGGATGCCGTGCTCAAGACAGTACAGCTCCCAGCATGCATTGCCCATCTGGACCCCAGCCTGGCCGACGTGGACGGAGATACATTCCCTCTGGAATAACAGTTGCACTTGTTAGGACTAGAGAACGAGGTACCGTTATATATATCACGACCAAATGGCATCGCAAAGCACCCACGAATTTCCAGCTCCAGAAATTACTTCTATTTCAAGAATCAAGATTCTTTATCATAGTGTTGGGGGCCTAGTGGATCTAGAGTACAAAACATTTATGTACAATTGATATGTGGATCTTACACTATTGATGTACGGTTATTCAATGATGTGTGATACTACTGCATAATATATTTAAATTCAATGTACATAAATTTCTCTTCAGATACAAAACAAGGCCGTTGATTGTTTAATGTGTGGACGACATCAGTTCAATTAATTTCCGACGAGAATAATGTTTTTTGGGGGGTAATATTTTGGAATTAATATATTTTAGACTTTGCTTATAAGGACAGACATTTACAAAATGGTCCTCGTCCTTAGCAATTAATTCATCACTATGGTCACGGTATAGCAAATCTGACCAACATTAGTTTTCGCCTTATTTTTACTTTACCGCATTTTTGGTAATTACAAAAAATATATTTAGTGGCATATCATACCCTAAATATTTAAATACCTCAACACTTTGCATATACACATTTGTTTAGTAGAACTAGGTTGGAACAGTATAGGTTGGTAGTATATTTGTCAAAAATTTGTTTTCATGTATGTTTTGCATATATTAGAACAAAAAAAAATCGCAATAAGTAACTACGGACAAATATAAAAGACTTACGAAAATTAAGCACACATGAACAGTAGTCGCCAAAACACACATGAACAGTAGTCGCCAAAACAATGTGCATCCGCGACCATGTGGAGACCTGTTCACCTCCTTCACTGACAGTCGTCTTTGCGCTTACGGAAAGGGGCGAGGTTGGCCGATTGAGAAATAGACAGTGAAGTACCTGATCTTTATAATTATGAATTAATAATCACTGAAGTATTCCATCTTCATGCTACTCCAGGTTTTCCTTACTATTAAAATATAGAACGTCAACACCAGAGAATAATCAGTCCAGATTATCTACCGAAACAGATTCCATAAATTATTGTATGATCTCTGACTGGGCGTGAAAAGCATAATAAAACACTGGTGCTGGAACAGGGGTTGAGACCAATCCTCGTGTCGAGCTAGTAATGTTGAAACTATGGCCCTAAACAGGGATTCAAGATCAGATTCCTGCCATAATTAACTCTGCACGGTAGTTTTCTATAGCCATTGTTATGTATCCGAAACATTCCAAGTCCGTATTCCACAAAACATTTCTCGCAATGGCCTTAAATCTTTACTGTCCTTTCTCGCAATGGCTCTAAAATCTATACTGTCCTTTCTCGCAATGGCCTTAAATCTATACTGTCCTTTCTCGCAATGGACTTAAATCTTTACTGTCCTTTCTCGCAATGGCTCTAAAATCTATACTGTCCTTTCTCGCAATGGCCTTAAATCTATACTGTCCTTTCTCGCAATGGCCTTAAATCTATACTGTCCTTTCTCGCAATGGCCTTAAATCTATACTGTCCTTTCTCGCAATGGCCTTAAATCTATACTGTCCTTTCTCGCAATGGCCTTAAATCTATACTGTCCTTTCTCGCAATGGCCTTAAATCTCTACTGCCCTATCTTGCAATGGCCTTAAATCTATACTGTTTATGCCACGCTATCCAGATTCCACGGGGTGTGCATGATATATGGTAGCTATCGAACGGCTGTCAAACTGGTTATAATGTTAATGACTGGTATCGACTCGGCCCCTTAATGCGATTTTAATCTCTGGCGTATTGATTTTCGGCAGCAATAACGGTAGTCAGTCAAAGAGGAACTACGCTCCCAAGTATTGGGCCCAGTACATGTCTTCACGTTGCAATAAGTGGCTCGTGCTGTGGCCTGGGGCTGTTCCATTACAGACAGACAGAACGACAGAGAGACAGACAGACAGAGATTATTTATCCACGGTTTATGAGAGACAATAACACACTACTAATGAAACATTAAAACACTTGATTGTATAAGTTTCTCTCTAATATCCGTATATAAAGGACATAGAAATAAAACATGCTTTTCTTCACCGACGCATTTAATACAATTAAAACTTGTTCTTTTATCATACTGTATATTTTCATAGCAGCCTGTTTCTATTCTGCTATAACAGAAGGGGGGGGGGGGGGGGGGGGGCTCCCTTCTTGTTTTAACCTAGTGAAGAAGTTTTGGCATGTTGAAGTTTTGTGAGAAAACCGTGTTTACCTGAAATATAGTCTGTAATTAAGATAATTATTAACTGTTAAACTGACAGACAATGCTTACTGAGATTTCGGGCAAACAGTGTATGTTTAATGAATTGAATCGAACTTGCTAAGAATACTAATTGGCTTGTACCTGGTCTCCCTTTAACTAGCTACTCACGTATACCATAATTGTACATTCTGGAGATCTCACAAGATTGTTCTATAATATATTTTATAAGTTAATTTATTCATTTCCATAGAGAACAAAAATTTTCTGAATAAAATCATGCATCGTGCTGGCAGGGACACGCTTGTCAGATTTCCGTGGGGTGATCATTACACGTGTTTAACAGATTTCCTTTGGAGCAAAGTGCATAAATGATATGGTTCTTTCAAATAAACTTCCTTTAAATTAATATTGATTTAGAACATATCTTACAATCTTACCATTTGAATCAAGGTCAATATTCAATTATGAATCAGACATAACATCATTTGAAAATTACTCACCATGGTTACTGGTATAGGTTGTGACGGTTCGTTGACGACTTAACGATTGCTCACTCGGACAGTGATAGGTCGCTGTGAGATTTCGAATGTGTGGCGCCGTTCTCTTCTCCCTGTTTTATATACCAGTCCCGTTGTTAGGGACGCTGACAACTGTAGTTGCCATAGTCACATATCAACAAACGTGTCGCCCAGGTTAAGCCTATTCTACACTTGCCATTGACTAACAGTCACTGCATCTGAAGTCAAAAGCATTGTCAATTATTATCCTATTGTTAAAGAGCTCTCACGCTGACGGCTGTAGCGGTAATGCGCCTGGTATTGGTAAAGTCTATTGTCCCGTTAGTTCAAAGGCTTGAATACTGTGATAAAAAGACTGTGTGTCGTTACACCACCGCTTCGTATTTGATTAAGCTATTGTTTACTGTTTTGATTTTGCAACATCAATATAACATTAATACTTCAGTGTCAATATTCATTAAATAAAAAATATAATCAGAATCATTACTTTCAGTCTTCTTTGACCCGTGGAGATCGTTTAACGTCTTTCGTATTACGCTGCCGGGGATCGAACCCCGGACCGCCCTAAAAGGCGACTATGCTTGTGGTAAGAGGCGACTAACGGGATCGGGTGGTCAGGCTCGCTGCGTGGATCGATGCTCATGTTGTCAATCACTTGATTGTCTGGTCCAGACTCGATTATTTACAGACCGCCGTCATATAGCTGGAATATTGCTGAGTGCGGCGTAAAACAACAAACAAATAAACACACCGTACCCATCTCCTGGAGGACTAACTGCCCTCCCGTGTTCAGTAAACGCCCGAGGCTCGCTTTAGCTGCTGTTGAGAGGTCACTGAAGATGAGGTCACTGAACTAATAATTGCTTTGTATGATCTATCGTTTTGGTCATCTTGATATGTTCTTGACTAAGGGTATCGCCGAGGCAAAGAGCAGTGATGTTAGGAGTTGTTCTATGAGAGGTAGGATTGCTATATCATGTGTGAATTCAGAACTAACTCCACAATCAACCGAAAATTCTCTTTTCTTAAAAGCTTCACACCGATGTTTGAGAGAAATATAGACGGTTACTCACATCCGGATTTTACTTTTGTGGACATTCTAAATGCCAATTTACGAGGGATGGCTGAAAAGTTCTAAGCCTAAGTGGGATATCTCAATCGGATTGAAACAAACTTTTGCCACCAACAAGTACAATCATTTAATGATGAATCACAGACCTAAGAACTGCAACTGTAGTGTTATTATTGTCTTTGTACCAGACAATCTTGTGAACCTACCCATTGAAATCACCAGAAATGGACAAAACTGGCTATAGGGCAGTCATCAAGTACCTACAACTGAAAGGGCTAACTCCAACACAGATACATGCTGACATGGTCTCCACTTTAGTGGATGATGCCCCTTCCTTTTCCACTGTAAAGAAGTGGGCTGCAGAATTCAAGCGTGGCAGAGAGAGCCTTGACGATGACCCGCGTCCAGGAAGGCCTTCAACAGCAACCATTCCGGAAAACATTACCCGGGTGCATGACATGGTGATTGCTGATCAACGATTGACCACTCGACATTTTGCCAGTGTTGTGGGCATCTCTCATGAGAGGGTTGAGCACATTATCACAACGAGTTGGGAATGACAAAAGTTTCTGCAAGATTGGTGCCAAAGCTCTTGACAGCTTCCTGACGTCCCGTGACAATTTATGCCGTTTCGAAGCAGATCCCGATGATTTTTTGGCCCGATTTGTAACCACGGATGAGACCTGGATTCATCACTTTCAACCAGAAACCAAAATTCAGTCTAAACAATATAAGCATCCGGAATCACCAGCCCACAAAAAAGCCAAGGCGGTTCCTTCTGCTGGAAAGGTGATGGCTTCAGTCTTTTGGGATTCCAAGGGTATTCTACTGATTGACTATCTTGAAAAAGGCCAGACTATCAATAGAAGATATTATGCTGACCTACTGAGACAGTTGCGTGAAGCTATCAAAGCAACGCGAAGGGGAATGCTCACTAAAGGAGTCCTGTTCCACCAAGACAATGCTCCTGTTCACAAATCGGTGGTTGCCATGTCAGCGATCCATGATTGTGACTTCGAACTCATTGACCATCCCCCTTATTCACCCAATTTGGCCCCGTCAGACTTCCACCCGTTTCCAAAAATCAAAAAGGAACTAGCCGGTCGCCATTTTCCTTGTAATGATGACGTCATTTCCGCTGTGAATGACTTTTTTAGGGTGGCTGAAGAAAATTTCTTCTTGATCGGCATCCAGGCCTTGCAGCATCGCTGGCAAAAGTGTGTAAACCTGGAAGAGGACTATGTGGAGAAATAAATGAAAACCATTGACTTGGTACGGGTCTTTCACAGTTAGGCTTAAAACTTTTCAGCCAGCCCTCGTACTTGTAATACAATTATAGCAATCTGTTAGGGTTGAAGAACGCATACGCTTATAGTTTCAAAAGTGAATTCAAACTTCAAAAGGCTTACTGGTTTGAAAAAGCAGGCATATGTAAAGCAGTTGTACAAATTAAGACTCTTGGAGAATGAAGTTGTTAATGCTAGACAAATGAACGAGGCTGTTGTTGAGCTCGATGAAAAGCCACGTAATGCTCACACACCACTCAGTCAGAGTAGAACACAAGACAAAATGAGCAAACGTCTGACCTACAGAACTCTGAACAATGTCAGAAAACGTGTCGAAAGCCAGCCACATTTAGAGAGAAGAAAGCGACCCTATACAAAACGTAAGCTTGAGAACTGAGAATCAGATGTTTAATCTGTCTGTAAGAAACTGACAAATGTATCATTCTTACTGCTAGAATACCTACCCAACATATGTTTAAAATGTAATTATTTGTGGAAATCATATCCGGACTAAAATGTCTTATGTATTATAAAATGACCCGTGATAATGATTTATGAGTGTTTATGTAATGTTGTAAATAAACCTCTTGGAATGCCATATTATTTACACTGTTTATATCACCCCTCATCATTATCCAATGAAATAACATGTGTCTTTGACTTTGTCAACCTCCGAATTGGTGTTCATATACATGACAGGATGCACCGACTTAATTATCTACCCCCACTGCACGTCCAGATTGTTGATTGTTGTGCTACAAGTAGAAGTTTTCTTACCTACATTAATGAACGGTTCATCGATAACTGAACTTGTGTTTTCACAGAAATTGGGGAATTACACACACGTGGGTGTAATCGTTTCACATATTTCAAAATTTATTGAATACCATTTACGGTTGAGTGATTCCAACGTGTGTTGATATGTAAGCCACACGAGGAAGCATACACAAACATTTAGCTTTCTTATCTACATTAATGAACTGTTCATTGTTCACTGAGGTTCAGTGTTTTCACAGAAAGTGGGTAATTACACACACGAAGACGCAATCTTACTAACTCTCTTCCTGATGCTTTCCTCATAGAGACATGTTTCCAATAATTTGGGGAGTCCAGAGGAACATTTACTGAACACTTGAACCTTACTAACGTAGGAACGACACGTCCTATTTATCTATCACCATTTTACGGTTGAGTGATGTCAGCATGCAGTGATACGCAAGACACGGGAGGAAGCAGAGGCTAACATGTAGTCCCAGAAATAAAGATATCTGATCTATAATATATATATTTCTACAAAATATAAAATATAATCCAAATGGAGCTCAGAATAATGCTTCCTTTTAAGTTTTAGATTTGCCCAATAAATCTAGACTTGGGTTGAGTTGGTTTCTGAATATATTCTCTGGGATCTGGGAAACAGATTATAGCATACTGTATCACAGTCTCATGATTTTTAAAGAAACATTAAAGAAGGTATTGCATTGCATTTATTATCAATTTAGCTCCACATCAGTAACACAAAGGGAGTGTATCACATAACTCCTTGTAGGAGCAACAACTATTTGTATTGCTACAGAACGACATAGGCATATATGGTGCAAGTGCATGTCAGAATATATCCGCCTGTTTATTATAAGCAATCAAAACATCATGCAGCCAGTATTAGCAAACTGAATATCTATACCAAGCAATAATCAAATTTCACATAACTTGACTTACGTTAAGTTCCAAAACAGAAAGTTGCATGCTCGCTTTTCGGCTCCTAACCTTGTCTAGCTGGTATTGGTGGTTGATGTCATGCCCTTCGTCTGAGCCTTCTTGTGCACACAGTACAGCTTGTCCATCAACAGTTTGAGGATTCTAGACTTAAAGACGAAGCACACGAAGATGTAGAAACGCTGAAGGCCGTTGAGAACGATCTGGAAATACCACAGAAGGTTGACGTGGACGAAGGCAGCAACGAAACAGAAGATCCAGGAGAAACCCATGATAAAAGACAGACGGACGTATATGCCCAGACGCGTCTTCTCGTTCTTACAACTTTTGGAGTGAGAAGAGACTTGAGAGGCCGTCCTCTCAATGCTGATCAGGGTCAAAATGAAACAGGTCACATTGATAGCTAGGGTTAGAGCCATGGGTAAACCGAACACATAGAGAGACGCTTTGGGATTGGCTATCCAGCACACGTGATCAGATCCATAGCCAATGCTTATTCCCCACACATGGAAGTGATCGATCACAACACACGTGACAACCAGAATGACGGGGATCCCCCAACCAACGCACGTGTACAGACAAAACAGTTTGTTGTGACTTTGAATTCCAGAAACAGGCGACATGCTTCTCAACGACCGAGCTAGATCTATAGACAACAAGCTTATCCATAGGAACGAAGACAGCCACAGCACGTGGGCAAGGGAGGCAACTGCTACACACATCTGCCCAGTCGGTACTTTGGTTATGAGTTGGAGTCCCTGGGCAAGAAGGAGAGTTGCTGACAGAGACATTACAACTTTACCGGGAACATTTCTAAGTTGAGGGAGACAGCTATAAACCAACAGTACCCCTACAAGAGAGGCAACGGACACTGATGACGTCACAATGGTCAGAACAACTTGGACGTTGTTGTAGTCAAAGAAAACGACCTGGTCAGTGTGACTCCTTGAGAAGTGGGAGCAGATGACAGCGCCATGTCTCGTGAGACTGAAGTTCCCCGCTGGCAGCACAACTCCACTGTGAATATAACGCAGAGAGCCATTGAGA